TTTACTGGGGGGAGGGGGGGAAATATAGTTTCAATTTCCAAAACAATAAGAATGCACTTGTATACTGCTGCTCCTTTTGCTCCTTTTTCTTTTTCTTTTCTTTTCCTTTTCTTTTCCTTTTTTTTCTTTTCTTTCAATTTTAGTACAAAATACAAATTGAATAGATTAATGAATAGTAGAAATACACCGAATGCTGGAGGGGAGAAATGAAAGTTGGAGGGGGAGAAGAAAGGGTGTATGGAGGATTGAAGTGTTACTGTTTTCTTAATTGCACAGTATATAAGTGATTGTACAAAATGAAAATGAAAATGAATAAAACAGTTTTCATGACATAAAGAGTAGTAGCCTTTATTGTGGTAGAAACTTTTTAAAATGGACTGAAAACACCAGAAACTGGATTCCAGCCGCTGTTCATTAACTTTAGAAAATTTACTGTTATAAGTCTTTCAATTTTGAAATCTTCATGGTTTATTTTAAAAAGCTCGTGGCCTGTTTCTTTCACACTTTTTTTTTAAATGACTAAGCTGACAAATCTTGACATTCTGGGTTTATAAGACGTGTAAAACCATCCCATTCTATTCAATGCTTAAGCATTTTTCCAAGATGAAAAACCGAAGGGAGATTACGCTAGAGGATTAGGGGAAAAACTATCGAAATGTTTTAAAAGATAAATGGGAAAACTTACTGCCAGACCCATCAACATCGTTTCTCCCACCGTGATCTGTATCCGTAGGCCAAAGAGGGCGTTCATCCCTCTCAGCTTCAGCTTATTCATCAACTGAGTGTGTACCTCGTACTCCATAAATGGCAGCAGATTACTGATGCAGGTTGCATTGGCTTCGGCTTGGGCTTTCTTTTTCAGACGGCATAGCCTGTTGGGGAGTGAACAATACATTTCAAGGCATGTGGCCTTAAGGAATCATAGAGTCAGAGGGCTAGCCACTGCGCCACCGTGGCTCTGATAACAATTAAAATAGGTCTCTTCTTCCTGCCCTCCTTCCTGTGGAGTACCTGGTTTGGATGAGGCAGCCTTTCCCAAACACCACTGCGTCCACGGGCAAGTCTATTGTCGTGAAAAGAACATCGGGCACTTTCTGCTTCCTGCAGCTGCAACAGTGAGCAAGCCGAGCCGGGAACGGCATGTTGAGTTCATCGTAAGGGATGTGGCAGAAGCCACAACCAGGAGGTAAAGTTTCATCTAGCCTAAGAGATAAATGATGAGAAGTCTAAAATTACCATTCAGACCCCGACTTTCAAAACAGGGTCAGCCACTCGAAGTTGGGAGGGTTCACACAAGGCTTATATAGAGTAACCTACACAGGTAGTCCTCAACTTACAACCCATGGTTTAGTGACAGTTCAAAAGTCATGATGGAACTGAAAAGAAGCGACTTATGGCCTGCTCCTCGTACTTAAAACTTTTGTAGCATCCTCAAGGTCACGTGATCAAAACCTGGCAATTAGCATGCACTTAAGATGATGGCAGCATCCCAGGGTCACGTGACTGCCCTTTGAGACCTCCCCAGGCAGCTTGTGACAACCGAGCCAATGGGAGAAGCCAGCTTTGCTTCAGACTGCAGGATTCACTTAACAACTGCAGTGATTCACTTAAGAACTGCAACGAAAATACGATAAAACTTAACAAGGGCCTTGCTTAGCAACAGAAAATCCAAGTCACAGCAGTGGTTGTAAATCGAGGTCTGCCTGTACATGGCTGTTTTCAAGTCTGCTTTGTTTTATAAAACTTTTCTGCATTTGAACAAGTTAGTCCAACAGACATTCTTCTCCCCCAAAAGGCCAAACAGATAATTAATTCCCCCTCCCCTTTTTAAAACCAGAACAACTCCTGGAAGATACACATGCATGGACAGATTAGTAGAAACCGAGCAGCTTTTTGTGAATTGGTTTCAGTAGATCTAAAAGGCACAAAACAACACAAATACTCATTTCTGTTAGGTTGAGTGTTCTATGGAGCGATTATTTGAGTAGGGATGGAACAACTTGTGTCATAAAGTTTTAGTGGGTCAGAAATACAACTAGGTTTTGTAGCAAATTTGGCTATGAATGCAAATCAGCAACTAAGCGTCGCCTGCTAGAGAAATCTATTTTTAAAAAACCGAACATTTATTTTATTTAGTTATTTATCTAATTTGGAGACCGGGTCATCACTGAGCAACTTTGGACAGTGTGGAAACCTTGGCGTTTCTCTGAGCTTGGTTGTTTTCTTGCAGACGTTTCATTGCCCAATTAGGTAACATCATCAGTGCTAGAAGGGTGTGGGTTTTTTAAAATCATATTTAAATGCTAAATCACATGATGGTCATCTCCCAAAAGAATGACTTGGCAACAACAGAGCCAGTAAAAAAAAAAAAAATCAACATTTTTTTAATCCACTTCATACATTTTAGTAGAGTTTTTGTTTTCCGGAAGAGCTGAACTTTTATCATTTTCTATTGAAAACTTATATTTGGTGAAACCTTGATTTGACAGACAAGCAGGGAGGAAGGGGGCTGCGTTACGCTCAAAAGGCCTGTAAAATCGCACAGAATATTCTTTCGGGCAATTTTAGCGATTTGCGTACTGACGCCACGCCAAATGTCAGCTTGATGCTCTGAGGTAAATTGTCATGGCTGACCCAAGTTTGTGTAAATTCAGCTCCCTCACCCAGCACCGTACAAGATGTTGGGAGGAGGGGAGGAGGGGGTATGTTGAGATAGAAATCTAGACCCCAAAATGGGGGGGGGGTCCGTGAACTTACTGTATTTTTCGGAGTATAAGATGCACCTTTTTCCCTCAAAAAAGAGGCTGGAAATTTGAGTGCGTCTTATACACTGAATACAGCATTTTTTTTGCCTCCAGAAACCTCGCCCACTTCATCAAAATGGCCGTGCATAGCCTTTAGGAGGCTTTCAGAGTGCTCCTGGGGGCTGGGGAGGGAAGAAATGAGGGGAAAGGGCTGGTTTTTGCTTGTTTTTTTGGGGGGGACCCCCCAGGAGCAGTCTACAAGCCTCCTAAAGGCTATGCACGGCCATTTTGATGAAGTGG